AAGAGAGGGAGTGGCATCTTCATGAATTCAATTTCAAGAGTTGAATGTAATGCATCATAAGGAATCTGAACAGTTGGTGCACTCACCCACACCCACAACAGCTGAACAGTTGAATGTCTACACAAAACAGGGCACACAGTCTCCCCCCTCCTCTTTTTCTCTTTCCAATTCTCCCTCTTTGTTCACCCATCATAATCACCATATCTAACACTCACTCACTCACTCTCTCTCTCTCTCTCTCTCTCTCTCTCTCTCTGTGCCCCCCTCCTCTGCACAGAACACAGGCTACTGTTGCGATCACCAAACCACTACCAGCCCCGTTCAAACCGACACCACTGTCTCACTACTCCATTTAAATAGTCACTGCCAGCAAAATTAAACAAGCTCGCTCTCTTTCGGCGCGGTTCACGTGCATCTTCCAAATCATTCATCACAGTCAACATAATCATATGAATCAATCGGCATTATAAAAACCCACAAAGCATTGACTGAAAGGAAGAGGGAAGGGGGAGAACACGGAAGATTTTTAGGGGTAGTCGCCAGACAGAAGAATGAAGTTTAGAACAGGTGAAGGGTTTCAATCACGTGCTAGTCAGTGATGTTCTATGAGCTCAATTTTTTTTGTTTAGATAAATTGCCCTCTAATACACGCACTTGATTAGCACGTTATTCAATTTTGTTAAATATTTTGAGAATCAAAATGAACTAATTGAAATATTAGGGATTAAAAAAAAAAACGGAACGCATAATTTGGGGATTTCCGGTGTAATCAACACTAAACAAATAAAAGAGTTTAGAATTTACACTTGAAACTGTATGTTTCACATCATTTTTTTCAGGCTTGACTAACTCTCTGAGTTTTCTAGCTATTAACATCTCCGTGCTGAGCTAAGCCGGAATGACTCAAAACTATACTTCTTGGGTATAAATGAATAATGTTGGTTCTTGATCGTCTCTGTTATAGTATATCTTAGCCTCCAGACATCATCCTCTAAATGTATGTATGGTGTGTGTGAAGGGGAGTGTCACTCTCCCTTAAAATGATGTCAAAAGAAAGCGCAATGAAATGGTGAATAAATAAAATATCAAATGTGTATGTGTGTGAACAAAAATGCTCCCTAAGCACAGAGAGACTTTTGCTTGTCGTGTTTTACTTGGAATCGTATATCAAGGTCGTCTCCTCAGGGAAGAAGGTGAATCATTTTGAAGATGATTTTGATGAAAAGCAAAGTGTAAAATATTTTGTTGTTGAAGTTTGGTTTATGATTTTATCTTAACAAAATTGAAATGAGAAAAATATTGGCTAATCCAAAAAGTTCACTCCAATGAAAATACTAAGTCAACTCGAATCCTTCCTCCAATAGAGCATAAATGTACGATTGATTAGTGAGAAGCTAGGGACGAGATGGAAGTGAGAATCAAAGTATAACCCGTGACAAGTCTACGGGATATCAAAGACTCACAATCTCGTCCACTCTCTACCCAGTTAAACCGAACCATCGCATTCTGAGAGGAATAAGGAAAATGTGTTGAAATGGCATATCCAAGAGAATGTCTTCCGTGGATTAGCCAACTTAAAAGCTTAGCCACTCATGCTTAAGGTAAAGATAATAATGTAATAAGAAGACATTATGAAGAAATAAAAACTGGAGCTAAGCTAATGCAAAGAAACATAAACTAAGAGAAAATACAATTAACACCCATTTTAAAACTAAGAAATTGAAAGAAAATAAAAAGCACAAATATAACTTCCGAATGATTTATACATGTTCATCACCTCTTTCTAAATAATGAATGAGAAATTATTCACTCTTCATGACTTTAATAAAACTAGAAAAGTGAGTGACGCTCATCCCTCCAAGTAGAGAAGTTACAAAGTAAAACACTTTACACAGGGAGCTGATCTTCGACAAAGAATAAGTGAATCACGTTCCACCCTTCACGACTTTGGTAAAGCTCTAGAAAAGTGGAAGAGTTTCACTCTTCTAAGGGAAGAAAGAAGCTCAAACAATGGAAGTAAAAGAAAACAATAAATTAAAATAAAGCAATAATACACTAAAAGAAAACAATACTTAAAGAAAACAATAACACTTTTGAAGGGTTTTCCACTACTAAAATATGGATGTTTTACAAGTTCTAAGGGGTGATATTTATAGGCAACAAGGGAGGATGAAAGTCTTGTTTAGCGGTTTTAAATTACACTTTAATCCCCATTTATTTTGAGTTTTGATAATTTGTACCCTATAGTTTATAATTTTGACAATTGACACCCAATAGTTTGTAATTTTGACCCAATTGGCTCCCAGTAGTGTGTAGCTTTGCCACAATTGTCTCCCCAGTAGAGTGTAGTTTTGACGCACAAAACCCTGAAAAGAACAACAATTAATGTATTATTCTTAATTCACACACTAACTCTAATTTGACTTCTTTTAACTAGTTTAACTAACACAATTTATCTATTAACTTAATTAAATTATGCATTAATTAGAGTTAATCAGTTGGCTATAGTTGTCCTGGATTTTTTTTTTTTTTTGATACATTGGAAAGGTGGTTGTACTGGATTTGCCTTCTGAATTTAATAGTTTCGGGGAAGAGTCAAAAAACCACATCTCAGTGGACCTCCCTTCTTACAATAAGGTTGAATGGCTACATTCTGGGGGGTTGATAGTAAAATAGGCCTGCCTACCTGAAAAAGAATGAACATTCTCAGGCCTAGGAACTTACTATGAAGGCATGTTCTAAATGGAGGTTTTGAGGTTCGGTAGGTCCGACGTAGAATTTTATACTTTGGAAGTGCTTCACATTTTGCAATGCTTTAGGTCAACCTGTACCATAAATAGTTAATATTGATACAAAAAATTCCACTCACAAACTAATCATATGCATCATTTAATTCAAAGACAGATTGTTAAAAAAAAAAATTCAAGCATCTTTTTCTTTGCTAAAAAATCATCAGTTTTTATGAAAAAAAAGACCTTTTAACCGTACTATAAACTTTTAGTGGAACATAGAACCCATCACACCTCTCATGGTGGTCCTTCGACACGATTCCGAGATGTTCGTTGACCACAAATATGTTGGCGAGACTGTCTGACATCCCAATGAATTCAAGCAAAGAAAATAAGAATGAAGTGTTTGATTTTGATCAAACACACTTAGACGACAGTCCTCTAAAACAATTATTTGGTGGGTGATCTAGGAAAAATTAAGGAAAAACTGTTAAGTGTGTATATATATAGGATCTCGATCCCAATTATGGGCAGGCTGTACACTGATTCCTAATTTTCTAACTAGGTTTCCTAATAGGTCAAGAATTATATAGGATCTATGTCCCAATTATGGTTAGGCAGTAACTGATTCCTAATTTGTTTGTAACAAGGTTTACTAATAGTTTAAAAAAATTAAGAAGTCTCATATTAGATTGTTAAACTAAAACCGAATAGCATTATTATTTTCTTGTAAAGCTTCAATTACGTATAAATATAATTTTTTTTCTCAAAAAAATTTGAATTGAATTTTTAATTTTCATTAAGAAGTTATAGGTTAACCCGGTTCATTTTGATAATTATGCATATAAAAATTAGGTTAAAATATACATGTATATATACACCCACCATTAATGCTATTGGGACATAATTTAAAAACTTACTTGTGATCATTAGATTGATAATGAAGTGTATTCAATGTTGAGACCACTGACAATTCAATGACCACAATTATTACGTCCTTAAATAATGTCCAAACAGCATTGCTCATACCCCCACATATATCGGTCAATGTATTTTTCAAGTATTTTTTATGTGGTGGATCCGTATCTTCTTTATTTCATTTAAAATTAGGTTTCCTGTGCTTTCATAATGTGCAATTAAAAGTCGTGGGGGGGGGGGGGTTGTATTTGACAAAAAGCCACCATTTCAAAATAATTTATTTCACTAATCTATAATAGAAAATAAGACAGATTTTAATAAGTTCATTCGACGATATTAAATAAACTCATTCAACAATCATTAACATTTCTTTCAAAATCATTCACATTGCACTGTACCTTCAAGTGTATCTTATCTTAGTTATTCATATATAAAAAAACTTAAAAATTGACTGAAAATTTGTGGTTAATTAATGTAAATCCTAGGGAAAAGGGTAAATAGGAATTCAATTGCTTACAAAAATTTTGTCATTGAAAGTGTGATCTTTTCTAGATCAAAAAAGAAAAGAGTATGATCTTTTCTTAGGAAAATGTTTTCGGGGGTAAAACCATTACCTTTTTTTATGGGTGAAATACACTTTGTACCCTAAAAACATTTCAAAATTTTCACTTTGTACTATCAAAGATTAATATTTTTATATTACACTCATCAAAAGTGTGTTGCAATGTAAGCGTTCTGGTTAAATTTTCATTAGATTTTTTGTCAATGTCAATGGATTGACTTTTGACAAAAAAATAATTGAAACTAAAAAAATGGTTACATTGTAACACTTTTGATACATTGAGGGTGCAATATAAAAAATTTAATCTTTGATTTATACAAGATTAAACTACTAAAAAATAAACTAAAAAGTTGGACAGGTAAATAAAATAAAGCCGCTGTATTAAAAATTTAGGAGATTGTTCAACACCAGTGCAGTGACAACAAACAACACAAACATAGTTCAAAAAAAAAAAAAAATACTAAATCCCCTATAGCATTTTGGATTGTATCATTTTCTGTCCATATCGTATTTGTGTAAACCGCGAATCAAAAATTATAAGACCTATGTCATTTTCTCTTTCAACCAAATTCATTTGCTATGAGTCTTTCATAAACTACAAATCGACTTGAGACAAAACCAAACCGTTTCAAATCAAAAATCTTTCAATTGTAAAAAAAATTCATACAATATTAATTCATGAAATAAAAAAAAAAAAAAAAAAAACTAATGCATGTTAAACGGGTTATTGGAATTTAACACTCACTTGACCAACAAACACAAATAGCAGTTTTTTTTTTTTAACTGGAAATTTAGTGAACAGGCATGGCAAAGCGGCATAGGGGACGCAAGCTACTCTTCTCCAACCATCGGGCAATGCAATTGCCATGAAACATATGCGAGCATGGCATGCGAGTGACCTCCAACCCCGCACAAAACGTCTCCAAACAAATTGCACATTCTCTTTTTGAACAAGAATCATCGAGTTTGAGTGTCACCTTCTTCAATACTTCAATAGATGATTTCGTTGCTGATCTGATAGAAGCAATTTCCTCCTCCTCGTCCCTGTCAATTGAGGGTACGATAAAAAGTACTCTAATTTTCACGATCATTGAGAGTATGTTTCTTTCCATATTCTGAAAATTGTCTACCATCGAAAGCCCCAAATCGAAAGCGTTATCTATGATTTCCTCAACAAAGTCTAAGGGTAAGTATGGGTCAACAATGGAGATATTGGTTAAAACAATTATGTGGTGGGGGATCTGGAAAAGTAAGTGGATGACAATTATAAATAGGCAGTAATTATTCCCCAATTTGTTTCTAACTAGGTTTCCTAATAGGCTAAGGAATCCTTTCCTTAATGGTATAATTACGTTTTGACAAGAGAATGTGTTCAAGATAGTTTAGAGTCTTTAGAGTAATGCTTAGGCATTGTTCAAGAGAGTTTTTTTTTATTCTTCTTTTGGGTAAAATACACTTTTAGTCCTCAAATTATATGTGTAGTGTCAATTTGTTTCTCAATCTTTCAATTGTGTTTATTTAATCTCTAAATTTTTTAATTTGTATCTACGTACTCTACTCTCAAACGTTCGTCAAAAAATTGTTAATAGCTTTGCTCACGTGTCAATCACCTAAAATGGGACAATGAGGTTTGAACCCGATCTTAAAATTCAACAATGGGGGTGTGGTCATTATGTCGTCCTATATTAGAGTTTGGAAAATCAGGAAGTATAATACAAAATTCCAAATGATAGGTCTGGGCCAGGTGAATATGGTCTATGGGCTAGATTTTATGCTCTCCCCACCCTATTCTGGACCATCCCAAATATTTATCTTCTAGAAAATCCAACTTCGCAAGATGCTCACTACCCACAATGGCAAAGAAAGTCAAAATGAACGCTCTAGTTAAAATCAGAAAAACTTCACAAAAACTACACTTGGTTTTTACGGCATCTCCAACTAATGACTTAAATTTAAATTTAAATTTGAGTCTCAATTTAAATAAAAAACTTAATTTAATATAAATCATTCCAATTGATAAACTTAAATATCTACTCAAATCTTTTAAAAATTTCCTTATTGTCCCAAATGTTTTTTTTTAGTTTTTCCCACCAAAATATTTTATCAAATATTAAAACTTATTTCTTACAAACTTCACTAATATTAACCAAAATAAAAGACAAGAATACCAACCTCTTTAACTGGTAGATTCATAAATTTTTTACCAAGTATGAGATACAAGAGAGAGTTTATGAGAGGAAAAAAAAAAGGTAAAAAAGGGGAGAGAGAGAGAGTAAAAAGTTACCGTCGAAGAATAGAGGCAGAGAGGGGGGAGATGCAAGAACTTGTGCCGTGGAATGAGTCTTTTGGGTTAAGATAGATAAAAAAAAAATTCAGAAAGTGAGCTGATATGTATTGATAAAAGATTAAAAACATGTACATAAGAGAGGGTTGCCCTCCATCAATAGTAGGCATCACCTACTGCTCCAGCAACATGGAAACAAAACACCAAAAAAGACAATACCAATACCAAGTTACCAAATTTCGAGGAAAGTGCCAGCCTTGAAGCTAGCACTTTCAAGAGAATCTTGTTTCTAAGGCATCAGTTAGAACAATTACAAAAGCATAGAGGCACAAGTCACCTTATGCACGAACTAGACAGACGCCACATTTGAAATAACCACATGTTCAACTGATAGGTTTTGAACTTGGCCGAAGACATTCTGTCCCCAACTGTCTGCACAATGAGGTTTAACAAGGACTTGTGGTCTCTCACTTGGTTTTGATGGATTCTGTTATTTCGTTCCCTCTATATATAATACATATTCACAGCCAAACAAAGTCTTCTCAACACACTCACCATGGATTTGCCCTTCCAGTTTTGGATCGCATGACTTACCAGATGCTACCAAGAGTTAAGTTGTCCTTGCTCACCAGTGAGCTGAAGCAATTGTCTCCGTATGCTCCATGGGAAATGACATTCAAAAAATATATGAGAATGGGTCTCATCAGCTTGTCTACATAGAACACATTCCATCCCCATATTATTTGTATAAACTTGAGTTCTCTCCTTTGTGCAAAGCCTTGTTCTAATAGCTAGCCAAAGAATAAAGCTCATCCTAGGAATAGCTTGGTTATACCACACCAAATGAACCCAAGGCACTTTAGGAGAATGAACTCTCACTTGATCCTAGGCAGAGGTTAAGGAGAAAGTGCCATTTGGGGCAGGAATCCATTTATCAACATCTCATCTTTCCTGACATGGTTGGTAAGTGGGCATGGTTTGTTCAGTTTCCCGAAGTTCAACAGTTCCTGTGTGAGGCCATTGCCATAGATTATTCCTTACAATGTTGCTAACCTTTGCATCCCTTGGTAATTCTGAAACCTGAATTATATTACTACTCCATTTCAACAAAAGGGGACCCCGAGGATGATGCCAGTTATCGTGCCAGAGGATAGTGTTTTGTCCATCTCCAACGCTGTGAAGTATTTGGGTTCTACAAACTGTTCTTAGCTTCAACAAATTAAGCCAGTTCCATGAGCAACTTTGTGGAATCCTAACCTCCCATAGACTCTTGCCTTTGAGATAATAAGAGTTAATCCACTTGGCCCACAAACCTTCTTTGTCAATGAATAACAACCATATGAATCTCAGCATATAAGCATTATTGCAGTCCCTTATTTTTCTTATACTTGGACCACCTTCATCTTTTGGCTTGCAAACATCAACTTTAGCTCCTGAGGCCCTTTTTTTTTACCCATTCCAAAAGAAAGCTCTCATGATTTTCTCAATTATGTCAATCACTTGCTGGGGGAGGTATAAAATGGAAGCCCAGAAAATTTGGGTGTTGTTAAGAACTGACTTAATCAATTGTAGTCTACCAGCAAAAGATAGAAACTCGTTTGTCCAACTTCTAACCCTTGACTCAATCTTCTCAATCAATAACGTACAATGAAGGGCTTTGAGTAAAGTTGTCACCAAAGGCAGCCCCAAATACTTGATTGGAAAGTTGCTTTCTGGAAATCCAATCATCACAATTATTTGACTTCTAATTTCCTCCAGGACAGCTGCTAAGAAGACGTTACTTTTTGCTGAGTTTGCTCGCATACCATAAAATTCTTGGAATATTAATAGTGCATCCTTTAGATAGCTCACAGAGTTCAAATCTCCATAGCTGAACAAGAACAGGTCATTGCAAAAGTTAAATGAGTTAGCTTTAGTTTCTTGCACCTGTAATGATACTTGAAGGAAGAGTTAGAAGAGATCATTTTGCAGATGATAGCATTAAGAACTTCCATAGCCATCACAAATAAGTAAGGAGAGAGCGGATCTCCTTGTCGAAGGCCTCTGGAGCTAGGAAAACCCAGCAAGTTCTCCATTTATGTTGATGGAGAATCTAGGTGTAGTGATGCAAGTGTGGATCCACTTCCTCATCTAATAAGGAATACCAAATATTTCTAATCCTTCTAGTAAGAATCCCCAATTAATGGTATCATATGCCTTCATAATATCAACTTTGATGGCGAATCTTGGTGACCCCTTTTGCTTGTGATAATCCCTAAGTAGTTCCTGAGTAAGGAGGATATTATCACTGATCTTCCTCCTGGGAATGAAAGTTGCCTGATTTGGCCCAATAATTCCAGGGAGCACACAATTGATTCTATTTGCAAGTATCTTTGAAATGACTTTGTACAAGACATTACAACATGAGATTGGTCTGAAGTCACCCATTTTTGAGGGGTTTTGGTTTTTTGGGACAAGAGCAATGATAGTGGCATTCATCTCTCAGAAGACTGTCGTTCCTAAAGAACTCCTCAACAACTATAGTCACCTCCCTTCCCACAACAGGCCAAGCTTTCTTGTAAAAATATGAATTGAATCCATCAGGGCCTGGAACTTTCATATCATCAAACAAGAAAAACACTTATTTAATCTCTTCATTTGTAACTTGACTCACCATCTAAGCAGCTTCTTGGTCATTGATCCTAACCATAGGAAAGGATTCTAGCGGGTTTCTTCTTGCTTCAGAATTAGAAGTATCCACATTACCTCCCAGTAGCTGAATAAAGAACCTTGTAGCTTCTTCCTTAATAACAGCATTTCCCTCAATGTCCATTCCATTTGCTTCCTTAAGATTAATGACTTTTTTTTTGCTCCTTCTACTTGTCATAGTTTTAAAGAAGAAGGCAGTGTTTTGATCTCCTTTCTTGAGCCACAAAACCCTTGATTTTTGTTTGAAAAAAATTTCTTCATTTCTGGCAGCTACTGAGTATTATACTAATAGTTGCTTCTCCACAGCCCTTAGTGCAGGATCAGATGGATTGGTGTCAAGCCTTCTTTGGCAGTTCTCAAGGGCAACCCTCTTCTCTTTCACCTTCACAGACCCATCCCCCAACTCCTTACTTTTATCCTTCAGTATGGTTGAGTTTCTTTAGCCTGCAGGACACATTAAATTGAAAGCATCCCTAATTATCTTCATTCCAAATAGCTGCAATAGTTAGTAAGAAGTCTTCTATGTCTGCAAGGTAGTTAAAGAATTTAAAAGGGCACTTTCTTCTCCTATTGGCTTCTCCCATTTAGATTAACACACGACTATGGTTTGATATGCCTGATTGTAAAAATTCAACCCCCGAGTGCTCAAATTGTTGGGTCCATTTTTCATTAACAAAGACTCTGTCGAGTTTTCTGTCGAGTTTTCTGGCAATGCAGGCTTCCCCTTCTCTTTTGTTCCTCCATGTAAAAAAGATACCAGAGTACCTTAATTCCACTAGTTGAGCCCCTTGTATACAATCTTCAAAATCCTTCATAGCCTGAGACCATCTATTATAGCCACCCTAGCTCTCTTGGGTGTTTCTAATGGCATTGAAATCACCCAAGAGAATCCAAGGAAGTGAACTAAATGTGGCAGGCTGTGATACTAAGTTCCTCCACAAAGTCCTTCTTTCATAATCCTCATTTGCTCCATACTCAATAGATGCAAAAAATTTGGTCCTACTATGAATGTGCAAAACACTATAGTGTATCACTTGTTTAGTTTTAGAGAGCTTGTTAACCTCTAGGGTATTGGGATTCCATCCCACCAAAATTCTCCCCAAATAGTGACTGTGAAAATTATCAACAGACTCTCAGTGCCTAAATACATTCCTTTTGACAATGTCTCTATTAACACCTCTAACTTTAGTCTCAATAATGCCCACATGGTCCACATGTTTTTCAACAATCAATTTCCTAACTTCTTCCTGCTTAGAAGGTTTATTCAGGCCCCTAATATTCCAAGCAACAAAATTAAACATCTTGGGGTTTATCTTCTGAGTATAAGATGCTCAAACATCTTGAGCAGCCCTGGAGTATGGCCTTTCTTCTTCAACTTCTTTTTCTTGTTACCATTGTGGAGTGGTTTTGGTTCTCTAGGTTTTCCTTCTAAGTTTTCTGACTGGGCATTGAGTTCCACAACAAGTTGACCTCCCTCAATTTCCAAATTACTAAATCTATTTGAAGCCGAAACAGGTTCTGGATTTGAAACAATATGATGGCAGTCAGTGATGACTATAGAAGTTACCTGAATATCCTCTTGAATGGTCTGCTCTGCCAAATCACTTTGAGCTTGATCTTGATCATTGTAGCTACATTTTGGATCATTAGAATATTCCTTGGTAGCCAATTCCACTACAGTCACTATGGCTTTGCCTTTCTCGTTTATATCATTTGTAACATTCTGTGCGGATTGTTTAGGCTTCCATATTCCATTCCTTGTCAATATTGGGCAAGTAGCATCACTATGCCCAAAAACTTTGCAAACATTGCACACCTTAGGCTTCCATTGATAGTCAACTTTAATTTCCGTAATTAACTCCTTATCATCAACATCCATTTTCAAGTCAAAGGAGTCAATGAGAGGAGTCTCAGCATCCACCTCAACACATATCCTTGCATAGATGAGTTTCCCAACTGCACTGGCTATATGGCTAAATTCGTCCTCATTTCAAAATTGTAATGAAATGTTGTAGAACTTCAGCCAAACGGGAATGGAGGAGTGGTCCTCCTTTGTAAGCAACATATCAGGTTGCCAGCATTTCAATATGATTGGCCTGCCTACGAGAAGCCATGGCCTTGCCTCAAACATTGTCATTCTTGATTCCTCATTCATAAATTTGAAAAAATAGAATCCTTTGTTATTTCCCAACACCTCAAGCAACCCCATCTTGTACCAATTCTTATGAGCTAAGAAGTTTACCGTCGAGTAAGGCAACTTCTTTTCTACGAAGTATCCAACTAAGCAATTTTTCCATTCAAGGCTGCCCTTTTTTCCAACCTCTTTAGGGGGTTGAACCACTAACATATCATTCTCCTTTTGCGGTGTAAAAAACTGGAGTTTCATCCCCTAGGGCAAGGTCTCTATTGGTACTCCATTCTTAGATCCTGAAGATGCTCTTGTCTGTCCAAATTTTAACACTTGGCTCCATCTAGTGTTAGTTTTATCATTCTGCTTGANTTGGTACTCCATTCTTAGATCCTGAAGATGCTCTTGTCTGTCCAAATTTTAACACTTGGCTCCATCTAGTGTTAGTTTTATCATTCTGCTTGAGATGATGGTTCATACCTTGTGGTTCATTAGCCACTTCAGTTGGTACCGTGAGAGAGATGGATTTGTCAACCTTTGCTCCTCCAGATTGGTTTGTTCTAGCATTACCTTCTTTACTATGGATGCTAGCTTCAGGTTCCATGCCCACAACTGGATTGGATTGGTCGGCCTCAACCTCGGATGGGGGAGCTTGTGCAGAGCTAGATTGTCGTACCAGGTATTTACTTCCCTGAACATATCGATGAAATTGACAGGGGGAAAAATCGATAGATAGCATAAATGGTGAGATTATGAGGTTATGGTGTATGGTATAGAAGGATGAAAACGGTGGATAGATTTGGAGGGGGAGGAAAAGGGGAAAATTCCAAGAATTTAGGACTTGAGATTTGGGTGCAAGAGATGTGGAAATGTAGAGGACATCAGAGATTAGGGCATTGAGGGATGATCTCACATGGTTTGGAGATGGGGAGGTGTCCATTGTGGCACCAGGCCAAAACCAGCAACAACTCTGTTCTGACCGACGATCTGTAGTGGGTGAACAGATCTAGAATAGGGGTGGTGGAAATACGAGGAGAAAGTTAAGAACTTGATGGTGGTGTGGAGGAGTATTAGCAGTAGATCTAGTTGTGGTGAGGGATCTGGTGGTAGGCTGGGTGGGTCTAGTTTTGGAGGGGTAATCTAGTTGTGGTTGTTTGGTAGATGAGCTGGTGGTCGTATTGGTAGTGTCGAAGGTGAGGATGGAGGGTTTGATGGTGGTGTTGGAAGGGTGGTAGGAGAAAGATCTACATGCTGACGGTGGTGGGTTGGGTGGATATGGTGGTGTGTTGGGTGGTTCTGGCAGTAGCTTTGTCAGCTGCAAAAGTTATCAGAGAAGCTTACCTCCCCGAAGAGTTGCTTAGGAGTGCTTGGTGCAAGGCATTCATATATCAAGAGGTTAACAAAGAATTAATGGTCTAGGGTGTTTGTACACGATAGATAAAAAGTTAACATTAAAAATTTGATATAGGATTTGACTCTCCTTCAATTTAAGTTTAAAATAAATTTTTCTTTAATTTATTATACGTTTTGGCCTAAGATTGAAAAAAAATTTAAGCTATTTTGACTCAAATTTAAATTTGAGTCAAAATTGGATGCTCTTAAATTTGAGTCCGAACTTATTTCTAAATGTTAGTTTATCATATATGAAATATATATTGCCCATTATTAAAAATACCCAAATACCTCTTCATTGTCAAAAAAGGAAAAAAAGAAAAAAGGCGACCTAAACATGGAAAACTGAAAGACTACTTCCTTGGGGGCGAGGGCTAAGGTAAGGTCGTCCCAATGTCGCCTTACCTCTTTGTCTTGATTATTCCAATTTTTTGTGGGCTTTTGATAAGAGCGGTGCAACAAGATTATTTCAAGTATCATGTTCAATATCAAAATGTAAAGATCTCTCATTGTTGTTTTGCAGATAATTTGACTCTTTTTTGTGAAAGATAAATAGAGTCTATTTTCATTATTAAAGATTGTCTTAACTCTTTCAAAGTAATGTCTGGACTCTCTCTTAACCCAGACAAGAATTAGAGAATGACTTGTGGGAGAGCAATGAATGTGAAAAGGCAAATGCTAAATCATACACATCATACACCACATACAACTCAACCTTCTTTATTCACACCCACGCAAATATAACTAGCAAACAACCCAACCTTCTTTAGTACACACACATACATGACATACATCACACATATTCCCCTGATGTACCATTAGTAAATCAGAAATACTATTTGAAACCTGCTATCAAACAAAGGGTAAATTACATTCAAATAATATTATTCTTAATACAAGAGGAGGTGTCAGGGTTACGGCCAGGGCGGTGTTCATCCTCTTGCATTCACACCTTGTGGGTTTGTTTTGCTATGACGGCAGCCATGACGAGCTTGAGTGAATCTTCAAGATCATCACACAGCTGATGTGGGTCTGGAATCGTTTCTTCATCGGCTGATAGAACGAACGTCAATTTGTCCACATAACTAACCACATGAATCATCAGTGCCTAAAATACACGTTGATTGGCAGGGATTAATACAAAACAAACCCACATAAATATACATATATATTGAGACTAATACAACTCGACACGTGATTGATTTAAAGACATCTTGGCTGACTCAACCAAGTCATCCTAGTCATCATTCCACGACACCATGATACTGTTCCGTGATCAATGCTATAACTTGGATATTTAGTCATGTCTAACTTTTTCATCTATGCATTTTCTGTAAATCACTTGATACCTACCCTTCCTCCTAATTCATGGTGGATATAAATATGGGTGTGTTTGTGTGTGTGTTGCAAAAACAAATTTGATGCCACAAAGAATGAGAACATACGTTGGGCTGTCCATAACAAGTCGGAGCAATATAGGCTACCGGATGGCCGAAAAACGCAACTTCTTCTTGGGGTCCAGGTACGTTTGAGAACCACAGTGTTGTGTTAGAAAAAACCTTGTGGGAAAGCTTGCCTGCAGCCTGCTCATCAAGGTTGAAAGTGAGTTTTTAACTACTCTATAATCACTAAAAACTCATTTATGTTACTAATTCTTGAACCAAAAAAGTATTCCAGCTATTTAAAGGAAGTTCTTTCAATCTAAACCATTTATTCCGGGTAATACTCCATTGAGTTAAAAAGAGATCGATAATAGAGGCTAAATGATGAGACGTTGATACGACAAATAAAAATTCAAATTTTAAATAAATAAAAATGAGGCAAAAAAACATTTTTTTATCAACTCCAGAACATTTGGTTCTTGTTCTTTGGTATTTTTAGGAGAGATGACTTGAGAAGTTTTCCCTTCTACTTTTCTTAATTTCTAGAATTTTTATTTAATTAATTTTGAAGTTAGGTATTCTTTAATCAACAACCAACATTTAGCCAATATAATTATCTTTTCACTATATTACCAATTAACCACCCTTCATTCAATTTATTTTTTTTAAAAGAAAATTCAGTTTCAATCCCTTATAAATTTTAATAATTCTTGAACTACTCATTTGTGTGACAGGAAAATAGAGAGTTTGGAAGGGTGTGAATGAATGAGGTGGAGCAAAACAGAGTTATAAATTATGTGTATCACACGAGGCGCCCGCTATTATAATATATATAAAACTAACAAATTAGATGGGAGAAGACTTGAAGAGTCTTCCCTCCCTCTTTTCTAAATTCCTAGAGTTTTGATTTATTTAATTACCAAACTAAAATTCCCTTGAATCATAGTACACCATATGTCCTTTGTAACCACTCCTCAAGTCCCTACTAAGTACTAACTAACAACTATTTCTTCAAATTTTTTCAAACATGATTATTTTTACTACCTAATATTTTTTTTATTTAATGTCTTAAGCGATTAGGTGAAAACGAAAAAGAAATAGGTGAAAAGATTATAAAAAAAACCAGGGGGTCTGACCCTAATGTTTAGTATCATATTTATTTACGAGCCAAACAAGTTATTGTGTGGACCCAACTCATTTATTAAACAAGCTTTAAAATTAAGCTCGAACTCAATTCATTTAATAAATAAGTGAATTTTAATAAGATTTTTCAGGACCAATACCAAGTTATTCCCGAACAGTTCGACTCATTTGCAGCCGTATAAAGGAGAAATTGAACTTCTCTTCACAAGTATTCATGATACTAGCTCTAAGTTAAATTCTTCTACATGTGATTGGATTCAAAGAGGGATAGTTGTTTTTATATCTGGAGTTGTCAATGCTATTGAAGTTATTACAAAAGTGTGTTTAAGCTATCGGCCAATAAGATGGCCGCCTAGTATTCCCAAATGAAAAAATATATATTGGATTCTATCAAACTATATAATTTGACTTATTTTATAAACAAAATATTATGACAAAGTCCCAGAAATATTTTGCAGTACTATATGCAAAAACATGGTTTTTAAGACCTAAAAACAATAAGAAAGCCACATTTAGTAAAAATAATTGTTCCTTAGGTTTTAGGGGGCTAAATGTTAATAAAATTATCTTAGGTCATTGTTTACATCTGGCCGTCCGGTATGATGATTTATTTACCTTAATGCCAAACAACTTGAGGATTAACTTAACAATCCAGTGACTATAAATAGCTTCAAGTGAAGTCTTCTTTTGACTCATAATCGCATTAGCTTCCCTTACATACTCCAATGGATCCTCTCGGAATGCAATGGTGAAGGGGAGGATGACATAACCGATCTTGTTACCCCATCTGGCCTTTGTACCCTTCTCCATCATATTAACTAGATCCTGAATACCAAACACGTGAGAAAAGAATAGGATAAGGATGATATACAAGTTTACTAAAAATAATAATTGCAGTCGAGTATACGAGAGACTCCAGTTTAAGAATGGTTTCATGTAAACATATGCAGTCTTACTTTCCTATGAAGTAACATTTATATTGTGCCCAGGCTCACCTCTAAAAATGTTTGAGAATAAATTTTGTATCAAACCCCGATCAGTACCATGGGTGGGTACCATCATATTATTACACCGGATATGTACCTATCTGTTATACAACTCAGCTACTATATATTTTAATGCTAGATATTTACCTACATATTATACATGGAGTGAGATCTCCTCTAACCCTTTTTTCCTCAATTTTTTTTGAATACATATTGAGTGATCTATCAATGATAAAATGTATATTTGAGAGGATCTGGATTTGGATCCGTGTTATATATCCCTTTGTTAGGCTGCCCTAAACGAACTAGTGGTAATTAACAAGAAATAATCACTTACATAAATCCCTGCAGACGGTCTTAAATTCATGAAAAACGTTGCTCTAAGACGAATGTTCTTCGGAAGGTTATTTTTCTTCACCGCTTCCCCCTGGTTTTTTCCCTCACCTGCCATGTTGGAGAATTTATCAGTGTTAGAATGACCCACTCAATCCTATGTGTGCTACTTCAACATGCTTTCTTCCGAGCGGGTCAGATTCTGGGCTAAAGATGGGTAAGTTTGGTAATTTTCTATCCATACAAATTGGTTTTTTGGTGGAACGGCCCTCAACCTTATAAACCAACTTCGGAAAGTCCAAATTTTTCGACATGCAATACAAATTCTCTCCTCACCCTCCTTTACTTGCGATTCTGAACCGCACGTGGTTAATAAAACAAAATCAAAGACAGACAGACAAATATTTCTCTAAGCTTAATATGCAACGTCTAAACTATTGATTGAAAGAGTCACTAATTTGGCTATTGTTGGAAGTAATCTGAGATATGAAAACTCACCATATCTCCTGTTGAGATACTTTGAAATGCCAGCTTCTGTTACTCCAAGAACTACATCGTTAATTGTCTGCAAACTCATAACCAAGTATTTTATTTTTCATAACTTGAAATTATTGTATACATTATTTTTCAGAAAACTTATGAATAAGAACTTGTAGGGAAGAAAAAATAGAGAAAGGAAAGGTAAGGGATGGAGCAAGTTTCTTTTACTTAGATTGGTTAGTATTTTTTCAGAACATTTACGTAACAATCAAATTTTTGTTTTAGTGCATAGTTCAGTCAATTCGAAAACAAAAAAAAAATTAAAAAACATTTTGGAAATAAAGATAAAGTTTGGAGTTTTGATTCTAAAAAATTGGTTAGAACATTCTGATACATCACAAAATATTCTAAAATAGGGGAATTTTGAGGTTCTATCACTGATTTATATTAACAATTATGATGCATTTATGCTGAATGCTTAAACAAAACTCACAATATTCATGGCTCTTTTCACCAACTTCACATCATCCAGACTAACTGTTCGATGAACAATGCGCCGAGGATTGTTCTCAACACCTGGCGGACCTTTCAGAGGAGTTTTCGTGTCCTTCAAAAACAATGCAGTGAGTACAAACATCACCACATCAACGATTGTGTTCCATACCATCATCATCATCATCAGAACAAAACCAAGCCCCCAAGATTTTGACAAATTCGATTTTTTTGTCACGATCGTACAACTTGGAAAAGCTTCAGGATCAGATGTTTTACGAGTGCAAGCAAGAAAAAGAGACATAAGAGATGCACCGTCGCCGAGGGAGTGGTGGACGCGGAGGACACCTACCGCCTCGGCGTCGGATGTTTTGACATTGAGGATGTGGAAGTCCCACATAGGTTTCGACTTGTCAATGGTAGATTTACTCAGGTTGCAGATGTAATCCTCGACAAACTTTTCATCAGGGTAATCAATGTGGGGGACTATAAGGTGGTTATCCATGTCCACCTCTGTTTGAACCCATTTAATCTCTCCACCACTTTCTTTGCTCACAACCTGTAATGATTGTAGTGCTGTCGATAGTCAAGAGATTCAAATTGAAGAAAGAAGTACTCAAATTGGAAATAAAACACAAAACATAACAATATCTCAGCTTGGTTACATCATGGGGCTAATCTTATGTCTTATAGTTTAATCTGCGATGATTGTACCTATCCGGAGTTTTTATGTAAAATGTGTAAAAATCTTGTTGTTCATACCTGCAAACTAGAGAAACGAGGGTGTTTCGCCAGAGTAAGCCCCAGATTGGCTTTAAAAGCATGAATATCAAGAATTTGGGTTTTCAAGCCAATTTTAGTAATGATATAAATGTTGCAACCAGGTTCATGAAACAAACGAGCCATAGGACTCACTGGTTCTTCTTCTTCCTCACCATTAGCAATCGTACATTGTCCATCTGGTTTGGCAATTCGAATACGTTTGAGATCTTCGAAACCTGGTATGACATCCATGAATATGTCTGATTGAGAGCTTTGGATCTTTTGAATGGATCTCACTGGGAAGCAGGGGAATTTGAAACAAATTTAGTGTTAGTAGTTGTAGTAAACGAGGTTCTCCCTCTCTATATTTATACTAGTGTAGAAGATGTTATGAGGCGTGCTTGAATGAGCCCGTGTGAAGTATGCTGCCATGTGTTGCACGAGAAATATTGGATGTGACCGTTGTCATATTAACATTCAATAAAAACCTAACTAATGAGTGATACCGTCTTATTTCAGTCATGTTATATTTACATTCAATAAAAACCTAACTAATGAGTGATATCACCTTATTTTAGTCACGTCATATCAACATTTAATAAAAACCTAACTAATGAATAACCTTCATATCACCTTATTTCAATCACGTCATATCAACATTTAATAAAAACCTAACTAATGAGTAAGTAGATCCCACAAAATTTAGTAATTACATGTTAATGTAAAGTAATTGCAACCTCACATAGGAGTTCAATTTATCCATTTGAAATTAGGGAAATACTATGTAACTCAAATTTGGGATACAATTTGAGTTATAAATTTGAGTTACATAGCATTGTTCTTTAAATTAATACGAAGTATTGATGACGTGGTATCACTACAACATTAAATATTTACTCATGTTGAAGTTAGGGTTCCACTTAGTAAGGGTGGCAATTTTCGGTACAACACGATAATTTAACTCAAACCCGACACTAAGTTAGCGATTTAGGGTTGACCATTTTTTAGTATAAACAAAAAAACAAAGCGACTAACTAATACAAATAATAATTAGGGTTGATTAGCGTCAAACATGAATAATCCGAAATTGACATGATTAATACGCATAACTAATATTATAAGAATAAAATCTAAATTATTGTTATTTTTTATCAAGTATTGACATGAATCTTTGTAAAATAAGAAAAAATTTTTACACATTTTAAATCTTATATGGATTTGGTAAAGACAATAGGTTCAAACTTTTAGATTTTTGATCCACGAATTATATTGGTCAATTAGAACACATCATGATAATAAATATCTCGAGTTAATGTCGTAATATTTAACATGATTAATTAAAGGAAAAATTTCATCCACACCCCCTGTAATTAGGTCTTAATCCAATACACTCCCTCCCGATCTTAAAACTTCAATGTCACCCCCTGCCAGTGTTTATCGGGTTACAACATTAACAGTAATTGTTAATTTATAGAAATACTCCTAAATATTTTATAGGATAAATTTTATCCATACCCTCTTGTAAATAGATATAACTTCAACGACACCCCTATAAATAGGCCTATTTTTAACAATAACCCCTCCCGATTTTAAAATTTTAATGCACTCCCTTTTAGTTTTATTATATTAACATTTAAGTTTATCAATTTAATATTTAATTTTATCAAATTAATGTTATTTATTTAATTTAAACTAAATTAATATTTCATCTCATCAAAGCAACACAAATTGATATTTAATTTTATCAAATTATCATTTAGTTATATTAATTTAATATTTTATTAAAGTAAAATTTAATATATTAAATTCCATTAATTTAACATTTAACCTTATCAAATTAATGTCAATTATTTAATTTAACACCAAATGAACATTTAATTTCATTAAAGCAACATTTAAATTTATTCAATTAATATTAAATTTATCAAACCAACACTGAATATATATATTAAATTAACACTAAATTAATATTTAAATTTATCAAATTAAGACCAAATTTATTCAATTATTATTAAATTTTAATATTTAAATTTTATATATGAATGGTGATGTGTGAAGAGTGAATGGGTGATGTTGTGAATGACAGACGATAGCAAAGGAGTTAAAAATTGATGAGATTTTGACATATACATTAATCTGTCTCTGCCTCACTAACAGTTGAAGAATATATCAATTCTATAATAATACATCATAACATATTTACATAAAAAAATGGAAGGAAAAAATAAAAAAAATGTGCATGAACAAAATTAAAAAAAAATTTGCATGAAAAAAAATTAAAAATATCTACATGAAAAAAATTTAAAAAAAACTACATGAAAAAGTTTTAAAACAAATTTCATGGCAAAAATTAAAATATCTGCATGAAAAAAAAATTAAAAAAAAATTGTATGAAATAATTTTAAAAAAATTGCAATAAAAACATTACAAATCTGCAAGAAAAAAATATATAATTCTTTTTCACCAACTTAGGTAATGATTGATCACTGTAGAGAACAAGTTGAAGAAGAATATTGGCTTCAATCCCCTATATCTTCCAACAACACCAAATCGTTTTTGACATTCAGCAACAACAAAAAGTATGATATATATAGTGGGAAAAGGGTTAAGGGCATTTTAATATATCTACATAAGGAATGATAGTTTTGACATTTTTAGAAACTTTATAATCAAACCATTACTTTTTATACTGGCAAAGCTAAAAATTATCATTAAGGGAGTGTCTTTGATTTAAAAATATAAACTAGAAAGGGGTGCAGTGAAATTTTAGAATCGAAAGGATGGGTCATTGAATTTAGACCTAACAAATAATAGAATAGATGAAATTTTTTCTTAATTAAATGCATTAGATTAGAGTTAATTAGTATTCAACAAGTACTCAAACAAATACGATAACTCGCATATGACTCAGTTAACATGATACGATTACCACGCCTATCACTTAAGAAGAAAATTTTGTGCATTCCAGCATTGGAGGAAGTGACATGGGTAGTTGGAAGTAGTTAAGAAGTTTGTCTCTGTACATCTAGGAGATGAAGTTGCATATGTAAACTGTGTTATGAATATCCCATCTTTTCGTGGTTGTATTATAGATACCCACATTTATACTTAGTACGTGGTTGCACTAGAACAACACAAACTAATGGAAAGCGTCAATTCTATGGGATTGTACTTCTATCGTCATTTATAACAACGACGTCAATTTTTCAGGTTCTGGTTCATGATCATGAACAAAGAGGCGTGTTTGACAAGCAACAAGTGAAATCAGTTTGCTGCATGTTGCACACACGGTTCCACTCCGAGTCCAACTATGGTACTGGTACCGTCTACTTTTCACTGCCCAGAACATGATGTATAATTTTTTTTATTTTGATACTCTCAAGATTAACCATCACAAATAAAACGAAACGATGAGGTTGTACTAATATTTATAGACATGCAAGACACTCATTCAAATGAATGAACATACACTTTAGAAAGGTTGTAACTTTCGATACAATCACAACTATTCCAAAGTTTGTGTATTCAAACCACCTATATTCCTCTCTCTATGATATTTCTCCTCATGCATGGAAAAATAACCACCAACCATTGTATCCATTAATTAGTCACATGTACGAGTATGACCACTCAATTCATGGGTCAACATTTAAGGCATTAACTATAGTCCTTTGGTATATTGGAGTACTTGCAAATTAATTATGTGTCTACATAATATAAAAATTGGGAGGCATATAGGAGGGATTCTACCATCCAGTGCGATGTATGTTAATTCACAAAACTTATAAAACTTAGCAGTATGATATTGAAATTTTTTTTTCGGTAACATAGTCCTCTCTTTGAATGATTGCTATGCTTCATTATGACATAGTATCATAATTAAGTTAAAAACAAAAGTTTATCTAACAATTGCCAGTTGCCTAAAAACATGATGTCCGAATCCTGTTCCCTAAAAACGTGATACACCTGTTTACGAGATTTGGGTCTTTGAATGGAGCACGTTAGATAGCAAGGGAATCTGAAAGCAATTTAGGTGATAAGGTTGTCTCTCTATGTTTTCTAGATGATGTTGCATGTATCTGCATACATAGAATGTGATAGATGAACGTTCTGTGGTTTGTGGTTGTGGTAGGCTAGGTACCAGATTCATATTGATTATGCCTGCCAGGCATGAACCAAAACAAAACACAGATGGAATGCGTGAATTATTTAGCATTACATTTCGATCATAACATACCATCATACTTCCCGACCCCAGATCCATAGTAATCTACTTTGTAACCATTGGACCAATAATGTGGCTTTTTTACACGAAATCTAACAATAGTTTTAATCACGCATATAAATTACCCCTTTCAAAATCATGTTACCCCTTTTATATAACAATAATATTATTTTTATTTTATTTAGTGACCTAATTTGCTGAACTAATCTATCACAATCATTTGAATTGCAAGCGGGTTTCCACCAAAATTGGGGTCCGGTATCAATCCAATGATTGTGATTGATGTCAATAAATTAGATACAAATAATATTACTCTTTATATAGTTGGTTTTGATTATTAGTGAGCCTTTTGGTGTCATACAAACATTTCCAACGCCTCCAATAGATAATAAATTTCACCATGCTTTGATAATTTCTGAATGTTTGAAGAAACAGATAAACAGCATCATACTAAGAGTAAGAGAAAATGCATTTGGCATGTAGGAAGAGCTATCCAATATCTATAGGAAAGCCCCACGTATTTTTCCTTAATTCAAAACGAAAAAGTATGATTTTGTTTTAAGTGCATGTAACTAGCATAAAAGGTACTAGAGTCAAAAATAAATAAAAATAGTTTCCCATGTGTTGAAGTCATGAAACAATGACGGCAACCATTTGATAAAAAAAAAATTACAAAGAAATGCACAATACTCCATCTTGAGAAGGAAAAAACAATAAAAGTACAAGTAGACAAAGGAACCATGATCGCAATATCGGTTTCTGTAAGACAAACATAGTAGCATAACAGAGAATATATATGCAGATATACCAGTGTGGCCAAATTAGAATTGGCCTTGAAAAACAAAAAATCTCAAGCATGCAATTATATCTTATTAGACACAAATATCAATACATAGTTATTTGATGTCAAANCAAAAAATCTCAAGCATGCAATTATATCTTATTAGACACAAATATCAATACATAGTTATTTGATGTCAAATCTTTTGCTATTAAAGGGGCATGAAAAATTGGAATTGCATTTCTA